GAGGAGGAGGAGGAGGAGGAGGAGAATGACGAGGTGGAGGAATAGAGGTGGAGGAGAAGGGAGAGAAGAATAAGGAGGAGAAAGTAAATCGAGGGTACGATTCCAAACAATCGTAACTCAAGATACGACTTTAAAAAAAAATATGTTAAAGAACAAAACGACGCCCACCTTGTGTTAAAACGATGTATCTATAGCTTTAATATTAAGGCAGCTATGGCACAGAGTTGTTGTTTTTTGTCGTATCTTGAGTTTGGCAAAAAAAATTGCATCCAAACTGTAGTAAGTCTAGTTACGATACTTTGATTTGAAATCTCGGTGTCGTATATATCGTAACAATGACATACGACAGTTTGGTTTCCAATTTTCCATCCGAACCAGGCGACTTCCATGTCGTAACTACTACTGTCAGTGTTTCACTCTTGTGTCTGTCCGACTCAATTTTTGAAAGAGCTTCTGTATCTCAGAAATGAATTCATTTCGTGGATAGTAAAGGGTTAGTCAGGTGAATGTGAGTTTTTTGTCCAATATAACGTCGAGGAAACGAGCATAATCCTGGACGGCAATCCTGTCCGCGTATAGTGTTAAATCCGGCTGCAGTACACGTCTGCCTGATCGGCAGAAGTATTTGTGTACTGCAACCGTCTTTGACGGAGAATACTTGAAACCGTTATTGTTTGGCCACTTTTCAAGTTTGTGCTGCTGCGTTTGCAGCTGCCTATCCATAGATCTTAGTTGAGGATTTTTCGAACGGCAGTATATCAAGAAGTCAACGTATAACGAGTTGTCTATACTATTTTGGAGGGTTTTTAAGATGGAATCTCTTTTGATTTCAAAAAGGAGAGGAGAAAGGATACTCCCCGGGGGACACCTTCCTCCTGTTGGTGGGGGTCTGAAAGGGAGGATCCGACACGAACTTGGAAGGAAAGGTTCTTTCAGGAAATTGCCAATGAAGGCAGGGAGGTGACCGCGTATACCGAAAGCGTGCAGGTCTCTGAGAATGCCGTACTTCCAGGTTGTGTCGAAGGCTTTTTCTAGGTGGAAAAAGATGGCGATCAAGTGACCTCCTTCGGCAAACGTCTCGGCGTACCAGGTGATCCAGAGTGGATCGAGTTTTCCTGAATCCGCACTGGAGACCGCTCAGCGAGCCCGTCGTCTCAAGAAACATGAGTCGCCTGTGGATCATATTATCTATAAATTTGCACAGTTAGTGCTATTGGTCTGTAATTGGATGGGTGTGTATGGTATTTGTTTGGTTTGGGTAAAGGAATGACACTGGAAAGATGCCAAGACTCCGGTAAGGAGAGCGACCGCCACACGTCGTTGTTTCTGTCTAGTAGGAGTGTAAGTGTTTTTGTGGGTAAGTGTCTAATGGTCTGGTTGTGGATGTCATCCGGACCCGGGGCTGTATTGCCCAGATGTACGATGTTAGTTCGTCTGATGTGAAGTCTGCTTTGTGGGTTTCAGTGTTGTTTGAGTGGAAGTTTAGGTGTTGTTGTTCTCAGTTAGTTTTGATGTTTTGGAAGGTGGTGTTGTAGTTTGCTTGGGATGAGTTGTTGGCAAGAGATGTAGCTATTGTGTCTGCGATGTCTACCTGTGTTTCAGCTGTGGTTCCATCCAGCCTCTGGGCGTGCCGGATGGTGTCTGTGCGTCTTCCTAAAAATCTTTTAGAGATTTAAAAAACTTGGTTGAGTGGTGTCTGACTGTTTATTTTGGAGATGTATTTTCTAAACGATTGTCTTTTGCTCTCCCTGAGGCATCTA